CTGAATACTATATTTTGTAGACTCCTCGACGATAAGTTTTAGTAAATTCTCATAAAAAAATACGTAAAATATTGTAACGGCATATCAAAACTCGAAAAAGGTTCATCTAACATGTCCTCAACTATGAATGGTGGAGGTGGTGACTGGAAAGCTGTCTTTCGCCAGATGTATCTACTTTTTTTAGTAGTGTTCAAAGTAAGTTGACAAGAAGGTTGACCTGAAGATGTACTTGCTCTCAGACACTCCACTGGCGATCTAATTGAATCTGCTGCTGAAGTTGATGCATTGACATTACCAGAAACGCTAGTTACTGTAATGTTCAATGTGTTTCTCGCCTGTGACAAAGATTTATTGAGGGTTTGGTCAATGTAGTTATACTCAAGTAATTAGGGCGTTTTTTCCATTTCATTCATGACTCAATCTCATAATCTTATAAGATCATCATCACTATCTTCATCAGATATCTCTAGTTCATCTTCACTGCCCGATGACATACGTAAAATATACTCAGTTTCGGTTTCTGTTACTCTTTTGCAGGGCTTCATCTGAAATCAATCAAGTATCATATAATAACCCTTATTGCAGAGTGACCCATATCAGTCACATACAAATAAAATCCAAAATATGCATAGATAGTAACTGATATCATAAAGTACTTATTTACCAATAAACTATAAACAATAACTTACCTCTTTTATATTTTTCCGAACGAAAACACTATAATTTTGCTTTTTTTTTTCAATGGTAAAACTTTACGTTTTCAACTTTTTTCAAAGTGACCGCTAATTTGATTGCAGAATAGTTTTCTAAGTGCAGCGCAGCCCTATGAACGAATGTAAACTATATTTTTATGTACTATAGTGTGTAGTTACGCTACTTTCTATTAGATGGCGTGAAAAAGTGTCGTGTTACGAAATACAAGGAATAAATCGGTATGTACCATATGTGTCACACTATGCGCTGTAGGGTTAATAGAAAGGTTAGATATAGGTTCAAAACACAATGGTGTTGCTATTATAATCAGAGATTATCTTCACTATAATAAGTTACCAACTTATTATGACAACTCTTTACAAAATATTGCTATAAGACTACAATATAATAATGAAACAATATCTATAGTAAGTTTTTACAGTCCAACCTCTGCAATTCCCTATAACTTTAGTTGTACCCATTTAAATAATCTAATTAAATCTATACCTAAACCACTAATCTTCGCCGGCGACTTCAATGCACACCACACTATGTGGGGTTGTACATCAACAGATATTCGTGGTTCAACTCTTTTAGATGTTATTAATGATAACAATTTATGTATCTTAAATGATGGTACAGTAACTACTGTTGGCTCTCATAACTGGCGTCCTAATGCATTAGATTTAACATTAGTTTCACCAGAATTAGCACTAAGATAAAGACCAGAATAAGCATGTACATGATGACTCCCTATGTAGTTACCACTTTCCTGTTATTACAAAGGTATTATGTAATTCTGTAAATATGTATAATGTTGACAATAATAATGTTAGTGTAAATTATATAAAACCTAATTATAATACGGTAGACTGGAAAAAATATAAGCAATTAACTGATATTACATTAAGAGATGTAAATATTGACACAACTAATCCAGAAGGGTGTTATGATCAACTGTCCAAAATATTGCTTGATTGTGTATCTGAAGCAAATCTTTCTAAGAAATCATCTGTAGTATATCGACAATCATTTCCTAAACCAAAAAAGAAATTAAATCTTCCGTGGTGGAATGATGTATGCTCACAAGCTGTAACAAACTGTAAGACTGCATATATAGAGTTTAAACAAAATCCTTCTGAACAAAATTATATACTGTTTAAACAGAAACAAGCACAGAAAAAACTAACAATTAATAATGAAAGGCAAAAAGCATGGGTAAAATTATGTAATACTTTCAATCGTCAGACACCTTTATCATTGATTTGGACTAATATAAGAAAATTTAACAAATCATACAGACCTACTTTTAATTCAAATACTAACAATTGGATTCAGTCTTTTTTAGATAAGTACACCTCTAACACTCAATCTCCACCATTAGATTACTTTTCTGACCAATGTCTTGATAGTGAATTATTTTTTATGAAACCATTCACTTTAATAGAGTTATTAAGTGCCATAGAATCCCGCAGAGATACAGCTTTTGGTTTAGATCACATCTCATACAAAATGTTTAAAACTCTTAGTCCTTCCAGTCACAAAATAGTTTTGCAAATCTACAATTCACTTTGGGAAAAGTCAATTATTCCTAAATCATGGAAAGTCGATTGTTTGGTCCCCATTCTAAAGTCTGGCAAGGATAAAGATGACCATGACTCCTATAGACCTATAGCTCTAACATCATGTGCAGCAAAACTCTTTGAACAGTTGATCAAACAAAGACTAGATTACTTTATAGAACACAATAATTTATTGCCTTATAATCAGTTTGGCTTTAGGAGAGGTCGTTCTGCAGTTGAGAGCCTAAATCATTTATATTTAGACATACATAGTGCCTTTACAAATGGTAAGTTTCTTGTGTGTATCTTCTTTGATATCATAGGTGCCTTCAATAATGTTGACCATCATATTTTAGCAGAAGAATTGTGTTCTCTCCAGTTACCTGTGAAATTAGTGAAATGGATATTTAATTTTTTAAACAGTAGGGAAGTCTATGTTAAATTTCAAAATAATTTGTTTGGACCACAAATGTCTAATAAAGGAGTTTGCCAAGGTGGGATACTCAGCCCATTGTTATTTATTCTGTATATACATAAGTTAAATAGTATATTAGGAAATGATGTAAATAATTTGCAATATGCTGATGATCTCACAGTGTACTGTACTGGCACAAATATGTTTCAAGTGGAGAAAAAACTTAACTATGCATTACAAAAATTAAAATCATATTTTACATATCTGAAATTGGATATTAATTTAACTAAAACCAATGTTGTAGTATTCAGCAAAAAGAAAATTTTACTAACCAATATCATATATGATGGCAATCCACTTCCCGTAAGTAATGAGGCTAAGTTCCTCGGTGTCATATTCACTAAGAACTTATCATGGAATAAACATGTAGCTGGCTTAGTAGACAAATCACTAAGAGCTTTTAACATCTTAAAGTCCTTAGCTCGGACATATTGGGGTGCTGATCCAAAAATCTTACTTATGTTGTATAAATCCATTGTCCGTTCTCATTTTGAATATAGCTTTCTATGCTACACATGTGACCATTTTCTTGTTCATAAATTAGAGAAGATTCAAAATAAAAATTTAAGACTTATCACAGGAGCAATGAATACAACTCCTATTATATCTATGCAAGTAGAGTGCAATATTTCTTCATTATTTTTAAGATTCAAATATTTAAAATTTAAATTCATCCTTAAAATCCACAGTATAAATAATCACCCTTTAGTAGATAAACTGATTCGTCTAAGTGAGTCTTTTTCATCATTAACATCTGTAAATACTCATTGTAAATTCCCATATATTCTTCATGATTTCTGTGAAATATCAGCATATATTTTAGAAACAAACATAAATAGAAATGAACACTGGGCTTGTTATAAAGGTTCCTATGAAGGGAAATTCCCACAATTAGAAATAAATATAGATAACAACTTACAAACAAAAGAAGCTGTATATGAAAAGTTATCAGAATGGCTAGGTTATGAAACAATTTATACAGATGGCTCAAAAAATGACTCTGGAGTATCAGCTGCTTATTACCACAAAAATGTTAAGTACGGCAAAGGACATAGACTGCCAGTTATTTTCAGCGTGTTTTCGGCTGAAGCCACTGCAATTCTGTTGGCTCTCAGATATGTTCAAATGGATATCATGTGCTCCAACAAAAGCAAGTTTTTAATAGTTTCCGATAGTATGTCCGTTCTCAAAGCACTTGATAATTTTAAACTACAGAATGCTAATTATATATTGTTCGAAATTAAAGAAGTTATTCAAAAATTATCTGACAACAATAAAATTGTAAAGTTTCTTTGGACTCCAGCACATGTTGGTGTGGCAGGCAATGAAAATGTTGACCATCTTGCCAGATTAACGAATTTACTGGGTGGCGATGTTAAAAACATCTCTTGTCCTTGGCAAGATGTCGTACCGGAATACCGTAAAAAAATCTACGAGCAATGGACAGCAGAAAGAATACTTGTCACTACTACAAAAGGTGCATGGTATGCTGGTATCAATAAAGAAGTTGGCAGAAAACCTTGGTTCGCTATATCCAATGACTACCTCCAGAGGAAATTCTACACTCAAATAAATAGATTGAGATTTGGACATTGCCGATTTAAAGCTCACTTACATCGTATGCATATGATAACATCTCCAGTATGCACCGAATGTTCAACTCAAGAAAACCAGACACTTGAACACATCTTTTTTTCATGCCCAACCTACAATATCCAGCGACTCGTTTTGATCCACCACCTCCTGAAAAGATACAAGACTATCCCGCCTTCCCTTCAGGATCTCTTAGCTTGCCCAGAAAACTTTGTACCGATCTATGACTATATTAGCTCCACTCTTGGAGAAATCTGATTTGACCCTCCCGGATATGTAAAATGATAACCCTGGACAAGACAAAGAAATTTAAAACTAAAGATCTGGCTATCAGCCTTTTAAAAAAAAAAAATAAACAAGACAAGATGGAATAAAATGAAAACAAAAAGAAAAGATTAGGCTTTGCCTTATAAAATAATATAACCCAAGATTTGGCTGTATGGCTTAGTTCCTTCGCCTGTCCCATGGACGAATTATAATACTACTACTTCATTATATGTCAATCAAGTAACTTTGACACTTTGTTGTAATTGAGTACTGTACTTTGGACCGCGGAATAATTTAATTTGAAATGTAAAAAGAATACATTTTTATTAATTTGAAATTTGGTGATGTAGTTGTATTTATTTAATGAACCTATGTTAATTGATTGAATTGCAATTGAGAATCCACCCGTTATGTTTAATCCCGCGGTTACAGTAAGACGAATCGATGTTTTGATTCGAATTGTAGGCAATAAAAGACTTAGACTAAGTGCTAATTACGTGGGAACTTACTCCGGAAATAATAAAGTTACTATAGGTGATGTTACAAAAGAAATACAAGTTCCGAAAAAGATTGAATATGTTCCTAGGAATTATTGTAAGTAACTAGCATGTAACCTAAAAATGTTAACTTTTATTTTTTAATAAAGACTAGATTTTCGTCAGCGGCTGCGCCCGCGTGGTACTGTATTATATATATATATATATATATATATATAAAACTTATTTTTAAATATCTCTGTATAAAGATAAAGACTGCATAAAATCAATTGTATAGTATAAAAAGTCTCAGTGAATAAACAGCAGAAAGCGACTTTGTTTTATACAGTGTGTAGATACTGTACTTGTTAAATTAACATTATCTATATAATTAAGTATTTATGAAAATATGAATCAATTAAAAATGTTTTCAATGTGATTCACATCATAAAAGTGAAATGTAGAAATATATGGCAATGGCTAAATCATAGAAGAGCTTCTTTAAGAAAGAAGTTGAATTGAATTGTAGTCTAGTCTAGTCATATCAGCATTTAAGAACTATATCCAATTTTTATATTTATATAAATTTATTAAAAGTTCAACCTTCTTGTACAACTTCAACCTTCTTCTTTAAAGTATTTCACACTAGTTAAATTTAATTTAATAATTTTATCTGTACACATTGACAGTTTGAACCACTATATGTATTATTTTTCCTTATACTGGAATTTCTCTTATGTTTTGGTATTGCATAATACAATCTACAAATTCTAAGTATTATGTAAAAAAAAACATTTTATTTGCACTGGTATTAATCTGCTCTACTGTACTTGAATGAAACAACTTTCAAATTTCCATCATTCTGTATTGTCTTAATTCATAATCAATAATCAGTAAAAGAACTTTAATAAAGTGTTTTCTTTTCTCATGTGGCCTTTGTCCTTCTTATATATATATTGTTATAGTTAATATTAATGGCACATATTTTTTGTCTAGAGAACTCCGTGGACCTTCATAGATATGCAAGTGGACATTATATTTATTATGATATTGTTACAGTAACAATTGAAAGTTCTGAAATAAAATTATTGTCACAAAGTACACTAAGGAACCTGAGATGGATGATGCAGAAGGATGCTTTGGGCCAAGACATGTTCCTTTTAGGACGACCAGGCCCTAGCAGGTACTTCTGTAGTTATAACAACAAAACTATGTTTGATTTTTAAAATTAAGTTTTAAATATTTAAATAATGTTATTTAATTTCATACTAGTATGAACCGTATGTATGCGGTTCATTTTTTATTATGTGTAGTTTATTTATGTGTATTTATGTGTGTAGTTTATGTATTATTTATGTCTAGTTTTGTAGTTAACAATAACTACAAAACTACACATAAATTCTTTTGTATTGTAGAAGAAAAATAGCACTTCAATACCTTGAGCTGACACAAAGGGAGTTGGAATACGTAGCTCTGTCTCGCGATACAACTGAAGCAGACCTAAAACAGAGACGTGAGATCCAGAATTCTACTGCTAGATACTTTGATCAGGTACTAATTTTAACATTGTTGACTACTTAAAGAGAAAATATGAATGGATGTGACTGTCCCATATTGACTCGCTGGACACAGTTGCATACTAGTTTTTAAGTATATTGTTGTCTTTTTATTTACTAATATTAAATTATAGTTCTAATGTTATTAAAATCTACTATGGAGTCATATCTCTGAAATAAAGATTATTATTATTATTAAGGAAAACTAGGCGAAGTGCCAGTCGGAATGTGAGTGTATTCATACTATTATATTAAAAAAGGCAAAAAGTCACATATTTTTTTAAGCTAGACTATTGTTCATATAAATAATTGTTTTAGAGCGCTGTTCGCGCGGCTATCGAAGGTCGTGTGCTGGTCATAGAAGGTATAGAAAAAGCCGAACGAAATGTTTTGCCAGTGCTTAATAATTTACTTGAAAATCGGGAGATGCATCTCGAAGACGGTCGGTTCCTCGTGCCTGCCGCTAGATATGATAAATTACTACAGGTAAAGATATATTTTTGTTACTATTTGACGGAATCGTAATTTAACGCCATTTTCTGTCGCATATAAAATCCATTACGTAGGTGATAGGTACCTACTAGATATATCCCGAAAAACCGAGGAGAGGAGAGAGAATGAGGATGAACGAAAATGTCCATATACTTTAATATCATCATTATCAGCCTATTTATATCCCCACTACTGAGGTACAGGTCTTCCCTATGTTTGGTATCGAATCGGCAGAATGGGCCATGACCCATCATGTTTTCCCAGTGTGGATTGGTGGGTCGTTAACATCCTTAACGACTGCAGATGCAGCAAGGACCAAATATAATAATTACAACAAATTTTTATCTTTATCGAAAGTTTTAATATTTGTAAAAATATGTCTTTCGGCTGTTTGGGTGGATTGCTTGATCATTGATGGAAATTCTCTCTGTAGTAGCGAAAAAGTACTAAGTGCTTGAAAGATTAGACAATCCTGTTAGGTCCTGGGTAGGTCAGTGGTTCAGCAGTTGCTCGGATTGCAATAGGTCATGGGTTCAAGTCCCATCTCAGAGTGCTAGGGACAAAGTGGATTTCTGAAGCATTTTTCATTAAGAACATTTTTAATTTAGGCAAAGTTATTCAAAAAACTAAAAAAACGAAAATTCCAAAAAGTATAAATTACTTACATTTGTATAGCATGAAAAGAGTTTTTATTATCTCAAGCGTCTCCACGCTTCGGAAGGCACGTAGTTAATCCCGGTTGCATCTGCAGTCGTTAACACCAACCAATCCGCAATGGGCCTGTGTGGGCGAATTCTCCCTATTCAATTTGATTCGATTTCATCCATAGAGAAAGTCTGAGCCCCAACAGTGGGGATATTAATGAGCTGATGATGATGATTTCCATGTAACATTCCAGTTGTTTTATCGCAACTTCGCTCGTGTAAATTTTAGGCTGTGTTACCCTACCCGCCTTTCATGCGTCACCGTACTTTAGGTGAAAGAATTTTTAAAATCGGTCTAGTCGTTTTTAACTTTATCCATTACAAACAATCAATCAAATCTTAGAACTTCGAATATTTTCTTAGAATTTTTTATATAATTATTTTTATTGAATTAGTACAGAAAAGAACATTTTGATTGTTAAAGTCATTAATATTTCACCTAGCGCCGTCTACAATTGAGTGGTCTACTTACAAGACCCAATAAAAAGGGTTTTTTTTTTTTATGAAATATGGAATGGCTAAAATATGGTAGTATTGGTAAAATAGGTAAAATATATTTCATGATTGAACAAAGTTTCTAACAAACATCATTTGTCAGTTTATCAAGTAATTTAGAGTTTTGATGCAAACTTGTGTGAATTAAAAAAACTAGTGCTAGTCGTACTTCGCGCACAATGGGTTACGTACTATGATCCATAAAAACGCAATATTTATTTTAGTCTATTTTTTGTATTTGTTGCTATAGCGGTAAGAAAATTACATAATCTGTAGAAATTTCAATTATCTAACAGACTGACTGATGGACAGACGAGACAGCGGAGTCGTAGTAAAAGAGTCTTCTACCCTTTAGATACGGAACTCTAAAAAAAGAAGTTTATATAGTACCTTTCAAAAGTCCTGACTTTGTTTTTATATAAAAACTTTTTTTTGGGGTTTTGAATGTGAACCTTTCAATTAGAGATTAAAGAATATTTTATTCGTCAGGAGCACGGAATCGAAGAGGTCTCAAAATGGCGATTAGTGCGAGTCGACGAGAACTTCAGAGTGATAGCTTTAGGACTGCCAGTACCGCGTTACACTGGACAGCCTCTAGACCCACCTCTACGATCAAGATTTCAGGCCAGAGATGTCGCCACTATCGGGTTTGGGGTAAGTTTAAATCACAATGCTCTTAATGAAAAATGCTTAAAAGTCCACTTTGTCTCAGGCACTCTGAGATGGGACTCGAATCCATGATTTTCGCAATCCTGGCGACTGCTCTAATCACTGAGCTACTAGGTACCTAACAGGACTGACGAATCTTTCAAGCAATTGTTACTTTTTCACTACTACAGAGGGTATTTTCATGAATGTTCAGGCAATCCACCCAAACAGCGGAAAGAAATATTTTTACTAATATTTTAAACTTTCGATAAAGGTTACCCTTCGGGTATAGAACCCTAAAAAGATTTATCATTTGTACAATAAACAGTCCACCAGCTGAGCTATTCTGTTAAATATACAGCGTTGAATACAGTGCTGTCACAGCATTAGAAGGTTCAATCAGTTTGTGTATCGACTATGAGTGTAATGAATAATATATACTACATATGTAAAATTTATTATCATAATATTTTATTAGTACAAGACACGTGCAAAATGTAGAAACAAAATAAAATAACTGAACCGTTACAGCAAATCGCGTGTTTAGTCGATTCCAAACTCATGGATTCAATTGAATGCAAGATTTACAATTTAAAAATACAAAGATTTACTATTTAAAAATACAAAGCTTTCAAACCGTATTACGATTTCTGCGATAGAAGGCTTTCGGTCCTACTTGTTGGGTTCGATTTCTTCGGCACCTCTGGCATGAATATGTGAACTTGTTTCTTAGTACCCACTTGTAAGTCAGGTATTAATTTTTTACTAACTAAATCGGCGTACTGTTTTTGTACTTCGCTTCTTTCGGAGACAATTTTCTGTCGCGCCTCAGCAACGTTCAATTTCGGCTCCCTGCCTTTTGTTTTGGCGTAGTCTTTTGTTTTCGTGGTCTCCCGTGGCGTGCACTTTATGTTCCGTGACTGTCTCGCGTACTGCTCGATCGTATTCGCCGACGTCGGCAAATAGAAATCATGCCGATCGATAATCCCAATTTGGTTTGATTTCTCACCGTCACAAATCTTCGGTGAAAACGGCTTAACTGTCTCCTTAGCTCGCACGTCTATTGCAGTTTTTGATTTTGCCAAGTTGTGATTACGTCTTTGTATCTCCGGCCAACTGTGTCTCGGTTGAGACATTCTTTCCGCGTTCTCCGGCGCCAGCAAGTCTACTTTGCCCGCTAAGTCCAACCACTGCAACACTCTGTCTGATAAATCTGTGTTCTCTTTGACATCTAGTCTAGAAGTACGGTTCGCTCTGAAATTTCTCATGTTGAAATTACTAAAATTCGACCTGAAAGTTTCGTAGTCGTTTAAAGGTTGCGGGGATGCTTTTAAAAGGAATCCTTCCTCTGATTCGTTGTCCACATCGGTTAAATCGAGTTTTTCGATCCGGAACTCCTTGGAGCTAATGGGGCGTCGCCGCTTTGGGACGCTGAAGTCTTTCTTGACGACTAAATTGAATTTCCTGAGGCAGTCTTCCACGCTGTCTGCGTTGCTTAGTCTGGAGTTTGGTTTGTTGATGACACCAGCGGAGGAATGTGGTCGTCGTTTCTTGGCTGTCAGTTTTAGGTAGTGCGGATCGTCATTAGTTAGTATGGCGTGTCTGAATCCGTCTACCCATACGGTTCGTACGTACATGGGTCGCTGTGAGGCTTGCCAGAGTGCGGGCATGTTATAGAGGCCCGGCTACTCCCCGTATCCGGTCACGCGACAGCCGATGCGTGAGCCGGTCGACTTTGTCTTCATAATAGATTCGTGCTCTGCTTTACGTGCTTTTGGATTGCCGCTTCTGAAAGTTACAAAAATCATTCAAATTGTATTATATTTTTCAATTGCCAGTTTTGTACGCTACAGTTGTATATAGAAGAAAAGTAAGGAAATTTTAGGATGCTGAAATACAAGTAATTTCAATGATGCATATTATATTTAATTTAGATTTAATTTTAATATTTTTATTTTAATTTAATATATTTAATTTAAATTTGAGTGTAATAAATGTGTACCTAACAAGAATATTATAGTAAAATTAACTTAGTAATATTGGTAATATAATAAAAAAAATTGAGTCGAGAATGTTCGACCCGGTTGTAACGCTGTCGTAAACAATGAGTCTCCACTATAATAGATGCCTGTTGCTTTCAATTTTCCTGTCAACACCCAGTTACTAGTGATTAATCGAACTAGGGTAGCCGTTACACAATTTAACGTAATGTGGAATATAAAGCTTATTTAGAAACCATTGTTGTAACAGAAAGACATAAATAGTTTCATTGTTACTATAATTATTTTTACAATCGTTAAACAGTATATTAATACGCAATACAACATTTAATTTATGGCAAACAGAAAAACAAAAAAAAAAAACAAAACAGGCTGATGTTTAACGGTCCCCGGGCTAATAACACCTAGCTCGGAGGGAGATAATTATTCTTTGGTCTCCCTTGCCAGTTGTCTCCATCATCTAGTAGGAACCATACCTTCAACATAACGGTTCCTATACTGGTGATATAATTAATTGATATAATTCGAACTGAGTCATTCCAAAAAGTGAAATGCATTTAAGTGTTAAAGCATTCTGGACGCGCAGGATTATATATTTTATAATATTGTTTTTTTTTGTTCTTGATAGGCAAGCACTTGACCACAGATCACCTGTTAATAATGCGTTTGATGGGTGTTGATTGGTTAATAAAGCGTTTGATTAATAAAACTATTACTCAAACTATATACCATGAAAAAATATTAAATACCATGTATTTGTTTTAATAATTCTGTTTATTATTATTTTATAGTGCCGCAAAATTTCTAAAATGACTTTTGAGACAGTGACCTCGAAGTCGAAAAAAATATAATTTCAATTATTAATAAGAATACGACCAGACTTTTTGTGAAAACAGAAAAAAAAATTTTATTATTTGGCTCTATAATATACTATTTTATATTAAAAAATACAAATTATATGAAAAAAATCTATTTAACCATATAAAGTTAAGAGTATTAAATAAGATTTAGCGTATTTAATATATATTATATACATACATATATATGTCAGATTGTCGTCTGTATTTATAGAACAAGTAAAATATTGAAATTTCGAGCTATTGAACAACAAATATCTTTGAATTATTGTATTTCTATTTAAGAGTGTTTCTTGCTTAATATCAAGAAGAGGAAATGATATCTTTGACTTTGTTATTTATTGTTGAATGATTTTTAATTTTAAGGCTTTCAATTGCTTATAAAAGAACATTAATAATATTTATTCGTTTCGATAACGTGTTTCTTGGTAGGAATATAACTGTGTATAAGTATCGATGGTTTTACATTAAAGTTTTCTAAGTAAACAAAAACATTTATTATTATTTTCGTAAACCAGCCAAAATTTTCAATCACAGAATGGCAAATTAAATCTGTCAAGAATTTCAATACTCACTCATTACATGGCTACGGTTATGCTACGAATGTCGTAGCTTTTACTACAGTCAATCTCCGTAGCAAATTCGTAGTCACTCCACTAATTGTAACGGCTCGCACATACAAAATTTACAATAGTTTCTATTTTGTAAGGTTGCGATTTCACTACGTGTATTTAGGTAGTTGTATTATCGCGATTTCTATCGTTTTGTTTATGTATATCGTGGCGATGTCGCGAAAGGTTATCCCACCGTTTCCTGTCTACTACTGGCTTGTGTTGCGTCGTTACGAGCGGTTTTGTCGTCAATTGGAAGTAAGGAGTCGGCCACACGATGCTACATGATATATAATTTTATTTTTAAATATTTAGCTTTAAAAAAGTCCACTTTGTCCCTGGCACTCTGAGCTGGGAGTCGAACCCATGACCTTTCGCAATCCGGGCGACTGCTATAATCACTGACCTACCCAGTACCTAACAGGACTGAAGAATCTTTCAAGCACTTGTTACTTTTTCACCGAAATAGCCGAAAGAAATATTTTTACAAATATTTAAACTTTCGATAAAGATGAAAAGATGGACAGAGACAAAGTGGATTTATTAAGAATTTTTTTAGAATATTTTTCAGTATAGAATTGTGAATGCAAAATTAATCAAATATAATCATTATTTTTTAACATTAGATATTGTAGTGAAAACCGTCACCTTTTTACGTGAGATAATTGTATGATTTAATAATCCTAAAAGCGTGTACAAAATGTTAATTTAAAGGTTCTTAAATCGTGTGATTACCCTAATATAAATTCATATTTTACAATTTCATTGTTCTGAAGAAAATAAAAAAAATTAAGAATTCGTCTTCTGGTAAAAAAATATCATTGGTAAATGGTATTTGAAATAAATACGTTGACATAGCTATTCAGTGTTGATATTTTTTTTGAGATATTATGTTGAGTATGTACATGGAGTTATGCGTTCAAACATTCGTGCACTTCCATGTTCATTGAAATATTTTTTTTTCGCAAAACACGCACTATTACAAAACTTTTTACGCAATATTTTTTTTTTGAAATAAAAAACGAAATAGACGAGCATCATCAATGTCCATTATTCGTAACGAAAACTTTATCACGTTGGCTTTTAAAATAATTTGTTTTTATACCATCATGTTAGTTGTAGACACGCCTTTACCACCAAAAGTAACAAGAAAGGTTGTCCAAACTCTCTTTTTTTAATGTAATGTTTCGACATGCATTCGTTTATTATGAATTTGGTATTTGTTCGCGTTAGTGTTTATTCTTTGACTGAAGCTAGTCAGCTTCAGTTACTTGTTTTATTTAGTTTTATTTAGTCCGGTTTATTTGTTTTATTCGTGAATGTGATTATTCGAAATGTTTGATAGGACTCCAACACCCACGACCTTTTGCTGACTAAATTCGATTACAAATGTTTTACCCGCGAATAATGAAGCCATAAATAAGGAGCTTTTACTGTATCTAATATTTTTCCATTAACTGGCTGACGGACCAAAGAGTATATCTGTTTTTTTTTTAACCCAGACATCATCCCTATTCGAAATAAGGCATGCAGTAGGCTGCGTAGGTATACTTGATTTTACTACAATTGCCATTGAAAGTTCCCATTTCCCGGAGCTTTCAGAAGTTTCGTAAGATTCCTTGCATAATTTTAGGTTGGTTGATGGAATCGGAAATAGGACACGAGCATAGTTTTTATGGGCCGTAATAAGTACCCAGTCGAAGAACAAGTTTCGCCGATAATTCGTTGATAGTATCGGTCGAATGATGTTATCTAAATGTTTCGTGTTGGGGTGCCGTATTTATATTCTATTTTCATACGTTTGTGGTGAATACAAAAATGGAAACATTGTTGTCATTATTGTATAGAATATTAATATCAGGCATAAATGTGAGGGATCATATGGTGGGATCTAACTTAAAAAGCCCTTCTTACGTTACAAATATTACACCTTATTCAAAACGTGCGTCTCAGCCGTTCTAATACTATCAAACGGACATAAGGTTAATCATTTATTACTTTTCTGTTATACCATAGTTTTTATAGAAACGACACAAGCCACATGTTTTGAATAAGGGGTTGTGTTTGTGAAGTAAGGGCTTGCAGAGTTAGGGCGTGTAGAGTGAGAATCTTGGCTCTCCGAGATCTGATAAATTTTTGAACAGTACGTCATATGGTCTCGACTTGGCAACACTTTACATGAAAATGTTTTTGGTGGGACTGTCAACACTTTATATTTCTTGCACACCAGTGATTATTATTTAGATCACCTTCATTTTAATTGATAACAACCAGGGTCTACATCCTACACCATTGTGATTTACCATTGCCATACAGTTTTTCATTTTATTAATGAAAAATATATATTTTTAGTATATTTCATTTCAGTATAGCATTGTGAATGCAAAATTTATCAAATATAATTATTGGAACAAATTTTCGTTTTTAGATAGATAGATAGAATATTCTTTATTGCACACACAAAGACAATATACACTCATATGACAAAAACAGGAGACGTACAATTGGCGGCCTTATCTCTAAAAGTGATTTCTTCCAGGCAACCTTGGGATGGAGTTAAATATAAAAGACCTAATGATGGGGTAGTGGATGGTGTACAAATAAACAATTTATAAATATACATAATTGATAATTGTTATATACTTAATTATAATTTACCTACATATACTATAATATAATAAATATTATCATATAAAATATAATACATATATAATACCTATATACATACTTTCATGGACAGGTAGTGCTCTCTGACAAGTTTGTCGAATGTTTAAATATTTCTTTCGGTTGTTTGGGTGGATTGGCCGAACATTGATGAAAATATTTGTAAGTATTTGTCACCACCTTAGATATTTTAGTACGAGTATGTAATATCGTATAATTGTGTAGTTACATTTAGAAACCTCACAAAATCCATATTTTGTGTACACCACCTGCTCTTTAAACAACCTTAAAACCAATTATTATTTTGAATTTGCAAGAATGAGGTAAAAATGTCCGTGAACTTGTGTAATTTTAAGATCTATAGTGCAAAACTAGGTTTGTATGGGAAAACCTATACGAAATTCGTTTAATAAATTGAAATTTATTAGAAAAATCGGCAACGCAATTAACGAAATATATATGTTGCCTTGATGCTTATCACGCAGGTGTCATTTTTTTTGTTGAAATTTTTGTTTATTTCTTTAGTCTAGGCTGTTAC